TTTCAGTGCAGGGACGCTGATACACAAGGCGTGAAGGGCTGCTGGACCATGATAATTGCCCTGCTCCAGCAGACTTAATCAAGACTTGATCAAGTCTGCTCTGATTCACTGGAATTTCAGCAATTAATCAAGTCTCCTCCTCTTCGCTACCTGGTGCTTACCACTGGATAAGCCTTAGGACCCTGGAAAATGAGGGCTGGAAGGGACCACAGGAGGTCATATTTAGTTCAACCTCCTGCTCAAAGCAGGACCAGCCCCAACTACATCATTACAGCCTTGGGCGAGTCTCCCTTCCCCACTGCATAGGCTAGGTTGTGGCTGTCCCATCCTGGTTTGCTGGTGCCTGAGTCTGAACTGGCACTGGTGGCCCCATGGCCAAAGAGCCATGCCCCATGCTGGGGTGAAGACCCCTCCAGCCACATGCAGCAAAGCTAGCAGCTTGTCCTTAGGTCTCCCCATCCAGTCTCCCACCCAAAGCCTGCTGAGTTTGCAGGCTGTGCTCAAGCCTTGCTGCCAGAAGCTGCTCTAGGGCAGCAGGGGCTCTGCCAGACCCAAGGTGCTGGATCCCAGTTCTCCAGGTAGCCCCACTGAGGTTAGGCTGGGAAGTTTAGTTACAGACCCCCAGACAAAAACATATGCTGTCAGCCGAGGTAAAGAAAAGGAAAACCCCAACAAAACCAAAAACCCAGGAAATAAAAATAAAATCAAACACTCTCTCTCTTAGCTCCCAAAGTGCCGTCCTGCCCTCTGAGAGGGCTGATCTTGCTGGCTCCCCCTTTCGGGACCTCATTGCACCGGGCTCCTGCCACAGGACCTCCACTGACAAAAGTCCTCCGACCCCCTTTGCCTTTGCTCCAACACTTCTCTCCGGCTCCACTAGCTGCAGACACGCATAGAGAGGGGAGTTCCCCAGCACCTCTGCTTCCATGATTTGGCTCTCCCCAGGGCTGCACCTTACCAGCCCGAAGTATGTAGCACAGCTCATCCTGGACCAATCTAATTGTATTTAATAGAAAATTGGAATGGCTGCAGGTCTGAGGCACGTGTCACAATGCAGAAATTGTCCGCTTTAGCTGATTGGAGCCACTTCAATGGGGCATGATCCATAATTAATTGAAATTCTCTACGCAGCAGGTAAAACCTGAAATATTTGATGCCCCAATTAACAGCCAAACATTCGTGTTCGATGGTAGTGTACCTTTTTTATGGTCATTCAACTTTCTACTCACATAAGCCACTGGTCTTTTGAGCCCATCTATTGCCTGCGAGAGGACTGCCCCAATAGCCTTTCCTGATGCATCTGCCTGTAGAATGAAAGGCCGTGAAAAACCAGGTGTTTGCAACACATCCCAACACAAAACCATCTTTACTGTGTCAAAGGTTTCTTCACGCTTTGTGTCCATTGTTATGGAGCCATTCCCTCTTCTCTGCATGGTATCAATGAGGGGTTTTGTGATCTCTGCAAGATGTGGAATAAACCGACAGTAATAACTGGCCAGTCCCAGGAATGCTCTCATTTTGTTGCTTACTTTGCAGAGGAAGGTAGTTCCCTATAACCTCTACTTTATCTGCCAGTGGTTTTATCCAGCCCTGTCCCACCACAAATCCTAAATATTGTTTTGGCCTGGCCCAGAGCACATTTCTTGGAGTTAGCTGTTAATCCTGCCTGCTGTAGCTCCTGCAGTACAGCTCTTATTGACTGTACGTGTTCTTCCCATCCCTCTGTATAAACCATGATACTGTCAATATATGTTGCAGCATAATCCTGGTGAGGGGCCAATATCCAATCCATAAGCCTTTGCAAAGTGGCTGCCGCTCCACTCAGCCCAAAGGGCATCCTTTTAAATTCATACCAGCGCCAAGGGGGTCCAAAGGCTGACTTTGCTTGATCCTTTGCCCTCAACGAAATTTGCCAATAACCTTTGGCCAGATTAAACATGGAGATAAACTTGGCCTTTCCTATTCATTCTAGGAGCTCCCCCCCCCGGGGCACAGGGAAAGCATTGAATCGTGTAATAAAGTTTAACTTCCTAAAGTCCACAAACAGATTGTCTCACCAGGTTTAGGAGCCGCTACAAGAGGCCTTTGCCATAGACTGCGAGATGTAGTAATGACTCCCTGCTACAACATCTTATGCAATTCCTCCTCAATGGGCTGATACTTATGGTACCGGATCCAATGTCATTTTTCCTTATGTTCCCTTCCGGAGTCAGGATCTTATGTATTACTCCCCGAGCTCTCCCTGGAGCTTCGCTAAAGACATCAGAAAACTCTCTGTAATAAGGCCTTTCAGCTGTCCATGTTGCCCTTCTAAGAGCCGTTTTCCTTAGGTTACCCTGTTTTCCACTAGTATAATCCCAACATCCCTCTCCATGTCGTGACCAAACTCCTCTTTCTCAGATAACGGGGTAATTCATAAACCTTCTCTTTCCATGCATAACTTTAACAAACAGACACAGTAAATTTGTTTCTCTTCTTTATATCCAGGTCTAAGGACTTCATACTCTACAGAGCCCGCTTGCCACACAATTACGAAAGGGTCCTGCCAGCAATTAAGGAATGTACTGGTGGAACCGGGCAGCGGCACTAAGACTCACCGCCCTACCTGGAACTCATGCTCCGTAGCCCGCTTATTGTACTGTTCCTTCTCCGGATGCCGCGCACTCTGCAAGTTCATACCAGTAACCTATAAGACTGAAGTCTCTCTCTCAAAGCAGTTATTCCCCTCCTCTCTGGCCCTTCCTAATCTGGCATAGTAGCTCATTCTTCACCTCACATCGAGGCAGCCTCCCACACTCTGGTCTCATTACCTGTTGGGTCTTTTTTGCAGTTTCAGTCTCCCACATAGCTTGGAAAGTCGGTTCTTGCCTTTGTGCCTCCCTAAATTGGGCACCACTGGTTAACTCCTCCAGGTTGAAAAGGGCTTCATCCTCCTCATTGACTGTCTCGGTATTTTCTTCTCCTAATAACCCAGCCTGATATTTTTCTCAGGCATGCATGGTTTTTAGAATATCATGTGTGTCAGGGCATTCCCTCCCCAACACCGTGGGATATGACAACTCTGGTGCCACTCCTACGGGTATCTCTCACATCACATAGTTACTGTGACCTTCCCACATTCATATGTAGAGGCCCTGCCATACATACAAATCATTCTAACAGGGGAGGTCTTCCCTCCTTTTCCGCAAGGAAAAAGATTAGCCTTAATCAGGGTCTGAGCAAAGCCCTAATTAGGATTTGAGGCCTAATCAGGGTCTGAGCATGCCCCTAATCACCCGTTTCCCTGCCACTCTCACCCATACTGTGGGCTTCTCCAACTCGAGGTCCCCTCTAGCTTCACCCAAACTACAACCCATCATTTCTATCTGAGATTGCTCCTGCCCTGAGCTTCTATTCCCCTTGTCTTCTCGACTGACAGGGAACCTCCCGAGCTGGTAAAACTATCCCTGGCCACATGGCAATCTTCTCATCCAGGGCTATTTGGCAGGTGGCTTGCTGCTGCTGCTGTTGCAGTATTTGCACCATTAGGCTTAATGTTTGCTGTAGCGGCTTCGCTTCGTCCATTGTAGGTCCATCCGACGGACTTAGGCCGCTGTCAGGTTCCCAGCCAATGCACCAAGATGTTGCGGATAGGTGCTATAGGACAAACAGGAAATGGAGAAAAGAAAATCAACCCCCTAACAAAAAACATTAAAAAAAAAAGGAAAATACTAAAAAAAACCAGGAAATAAAGAAAAAAATCAACCCCTCTAACAAAAAAACCCAAAAAACCCCCCGAAAACCAGGAAATAAATAATTTTTAAAAATCACATCCCCTAAGAAAAAACATTAAAAAAAAATGGAAAATCCTCAAAAAAACTAACCCCCTGCCCCAGGAAATAAAGAAGAAAAAAAAGCAAGGCCTCTAAGAAAAAAAACATTTAAAAAATGGAAAGTTCTAAAAAACAAACAAACCAGGAAATAAAGAAGAAAAAAGCAACCCCCCCTAACAAAAAAAATGAAAAAGTAAAATACTGAAAAAACCCAGGAAAAAATAAAGAAAAAACCCCAACCCCCCTAACAAAAAAAAGGAAAAACCTCAACCCCCCCCCCAGGAAATAAATAATTGAAAAAAAAAAAAAAATCACGCCCCCTAACAAAAAACATTAAAAAAATGGAAAATCCTCAAAAAAAAAGCCAACCTCCTGTCCCAGGAAATAAAGAAGAAAAAAAAAAAAAGCAAAGAAAAAAACCTTTTAAAAATGGAAAGTTCTAAAAAACAAATGAAGAAATAAAGAAGAAAGCAACCCCCCTAATGAAAAAACATTAAAAAAAAAGGAAAATACTAAAAAACCCAGGGAATAAAAAGAAAAAAAAAATCAACCCCCCTAAAAAAACAAAAAAAACAAAAAAGGAAAAAAACAAAAAAGGAAAAACCTCAACCCCCCCCCAGGAAATAAATAATTTTTGCTGCGGGGGTGATTTTTTAAAAACATTTCAAAAAATGGAAAATCCTCAAAAACAAAACAAAACAACAAGAAATAAGGGAGAGGGGGAAATCAACCGCCCCAACAAAAAAAAACAACCAAAAAAAACCCCGGAAACACCTCAATAAACCCAGGAAATAAATAATTAAACAAAAATCACACCCCTAACAAAAAAAAATTAACAAAAATGGAAAATCTTCAAAAAAAAACCCCAGAAAAAAAATCAACCCCGTTAACAAAAAATAATTGTGAAAATGGAAAAAAAAAACCCCTCAAAACCCCAGGGAATAAATAATTTTAAAAAATCACCCCTCCTAACAAAAAATGTAAAAAAGAAAATTAAGGTGCTGGGGGAGGGGGAGGAGGGATATATTAAAAAAACAGAACCTCCCCCACCTCCTGTTAAACCCGCGCAGGAAGTGTCGGGCACGCGAGGGCCGGCGCCCGGCAGCACAGAGCGGCGTGCCCACGCCGCCAATGGGAGGAGCGCTGGGGCCGGAAGTGCGGCGCTCTGCCTCACACCCGCCGCCGCCTCGCTGCTCCGGTGCGCTGAGGTAAGCGGTGCGGCAGCGCTGGCAGTCTGGCCGCGACCGCGGTCCAGGCGGGTCGGGCCGGGTAGCGTGTGCGCCCAGGGGCAGTGCCACGCCGCACCTGTCCCATTTGGACCCCCCATTTCCCCTCAGCCCACCTGACAGTTGACTCCCTGCCCCCTTTTCCCTTCCTGTCTCCTGTGGCGCCCGCCCGCAGGCTCCATCCAGCGCCACCCTCGGCTCCACCGCAGCCTTCAGGGGTGGGGGAGCGCCTCTGTCCGTCCGTCCGTGCTGCGCGTGTGGCCGTGCCCGGGGCAGACGGCGCTCGGACATCGGGGCGCGGATGCCGAGGAGGAGCTGACAGGACGCCTCCGAGCGCCTCCAGCCATGGAGCCGCCGTCCAGAGCCGCCGTCTGGGTCCTGTGCTGCGTCCTGCTGCACCACGGCCGGGCCGACAGGCCCCCTGGCTCCCACCTGGACGAGACCGCCATCGCAGGTAAGCAACCGCCTCTCGTCCTTACCTGGCAGGCACGAGGGCATCGACGGTCTTAAACAGCCCCCCCCCGCAAAAATGAATGGTCAATGGTAAATAGCACAGCGTTTTAAAAAAAAGAAAAGTGCTCTTTGGAAATCCACATGCTTCTTTTTGCGGACGACGGAGACATGGCAACGAGAGGATCCTTTTCCCGCACGCTTTCGGGCTTGGGGAAAGTTTGAAAGGGCGTCCGAAGTCCCCATCTGTCGGAAATTTTAAACTTCATTTTTTATTTTTATTTTTTTTTTTGCACTTTAGTCTGGTAAAAAATCTTCGGGGATTGGGATGGGACACGTTGCAGGATCATGCGATTATAGAGTGAGGTTTAAATAGCCCCCAAAACCTGTGCGTTTCGAAAGGGCTGCCAGGTTATTGCTGCCTGGAGGTTTTTAATGATTTTTTTTTTTCTTTTCATGAGTTTGTTTTAATTTTGGATGCAAACTTCTTTGGAAAGCTTCAAATTTGCATTTTTGCACGGCGCTGCCCCTGGGCGAGGTGGGGCTGGTAAAAAAAAATCTTGGGGAATCTGGATGGGACACGTTGCAGGATCCTATAGCTTATAGCACAAGGTTTTAAATAGCCCTCAAAATTTGTGCGTGTCACCCCGGTTCGTTTTTAATTTTGGATGCACACTTGTTTGGAAAATTTCACGTTTTTTGCTTTTAAAACAAACCCAGATACTTTTTCAAAGGCAGAATAGTCCTGTTCCACTTGCATAATTTCCACCATAGTTTCTGTAATTATTGTACTTTGAGAAGGGAGTGCTTGATTGTGTGTTGGCAGGGACTTGGGAGGGAGCGGGGGCTGCAGAAAGCTGGATGTCTTGTGCTCGAGTTCACCATCCGAAACCCCCAAACCTGCCTCCCAGAAGGCAAACATTGACGTTACATTGGCACTCGCTAGCCTCAGTGAGGAGAACAAGGGTTGAATGGGCTGCCGCAGGCACAGATCTCCCTCTGTGCCTTGTTAAACGTCTTTTTGTCACGGTTGGAGGCATCTTTCTTGTTGGTTCCTGTACTGTTAAAGGCTGGGATGAGGAAAAGCTGTGAGGACTGGGAGTCCTGGCACCTTTCACAACCACATGCCCAAGGAAAATTGGAAGGTATCCTTGCAGCCCAGGAGACTAGGAATGCAGTTGATTTACATATCAGGGTGGGGGGAAGTCTATGCAAAAATGCTGTCCGGGAAGGGCGGCATTTAACCCTGAGCTTTCCAGCCATCCAGTGTCCTGCTGCATCTCATTCCTGGAAATAGGTGGGTTGGTTGCACTCAGGGCTTCTTTATACCTGAGCAGGCAGACCTCCTTGAATACAGGTTTTATCTGCTGTGGGGTGAAGACAGCAGGCAGCCACCCTAACGGCTATAAAGACAGCCCTGTGTTAGACACAGCCTTCCTATACCTGCACGCAGTGTCTTTAGAAGAGCTTGTACCGCCCTTGATGTGCAATAGCAAGGGCCCCTGGAATATAATTAGCAAACAGTTCACTCCTTAGCATCGACTAATTTGCATATTAGCTTTTGCACCCATGTGGTAGCTCTCATTTGCATTAGTAACCAGTCATTTCACCCTGTCCTCACCAGCGAGTAATAATGCCAGATCTCTTGAATCTTAAGCTTTGACAGAGATCAGGAACTTGTTGCTTGCTTTTTGAGCTGTGATGCTGTTCCTTTTTGACAGTGTGGTGATTTCTTTCTTTCTTTTTTTTTTTTTTTTCTTAAACAATTTTTTTTTCCCTTTTTAGGACTTGCCATAAATTAGTTTATGTTGTAATTGGTTGATCTAGTCCAAACCTCTGCAGGTTGCTAGCTCTGATTCTTATAGTCTGTATGTGAGATTCCTTGTGATGTTAGCCCCTGAAGCCAGGTAGCAGCCAGTCTGCTTCCAAAAGGGAACTGCATCTTTGTGGTCCTTTTGAACCAGGGTTCATTCTTTCAGGGGATATTTAAATGAGTTGTCTGGGAGGCCCTGCAGAAATGTGACAGTGGTGGTTCTGCTGCTTTTCCACTCTTATCTTGAAATGAGATGTAATCTAGACCAGCAGAGGCGAACAGGCTGAGATGCTTAGGCTTTGTAGGGCATCTACATCTGAAAGTTTCCTTTTCCCGTGGGTTCCCCTGTCTCAACAGGCAGATCCCTGCTGTGCATGGATTTTAAAAAGCTTCCACATGTGGCATCCAGAAAGGGTAGAACAACAGTTCGTTGCATGTCTGATTCTGAACTATATTTGAGGTCTGACTGTGCTGCATTGACACATGTTGATGCATAATAGATTTATTCACCCAGGAAGCCAATAACTTATGGCACTTAAGTACTCTGTATAGGTTTCCTTGTTGGATAATTGTTGGAAGGTTTTGTTGTGCATGCCACACTGTTCATGTGGCCACTGGCAAACGGGGTCTCGTAAGATTTGATTTTTATTTATTTATTTATTTATTTATTTATTTATTTTTGGCACTTGCTCTTTGGCTGCCTAGTCTTGAAGTTCAGAAAATGGCTTGTATACAGTGCGTATACCTTTGGCTTCATGGGAACAGAGTATGGGATCCTGTTAGCTGGGTGCTTGAATGTTCATTTCTGTGATCATTAAATAGACACAAATCAGTGTAAGATTCTAGATTTTAAAGTGAAGCACAGATGATTTTTCTTAGATTTGGTCTGATTTTAGTGTCAGAAGGGATGGATGGCAGTGGTGCATTGCAAGAATTGCACTACCCTTTTAATTTACATGGGGTAGTGCACAACAAAGCCTTCAACAATTATCTAGCAAAGAAACCTATACAGAGTACTTAAGTGCCATAAATTATTGACCTTCTGGGTGAATCAGTCTATTATGCATCAACATGTGTTGATTCAGAAAGCAGAGATGTGCGAGTTTGAACACATTTTTCCCAATGGAGTCATTTGGCCCCTGGAGCTCCAGATGCCTATGTATGCTCAGGAAAAATGATGATTCATACGGAATATCAATGTGATTTCATGGCTTCTAAGCTGGTCATGCCAAGCTTACAACTGGTAGTTTTGTACCTGCGTGGGAGAGAATTGTATTTGGTCAGTAGGCTCTGGGGAGAGTCCTGCTTTATGCTGCATGCAGCTTTTCAGTGGTCATCTTCATGACCATCTGTCGCTTCGAATTGTGTGTTCACGCCTAGGTGTCTGTCTGAAGTTTAGCAAATCATAGTAGTGGCAGAAAAATTAGTCTGATCACATATGTGAAATGTGTTGGTGCCCCCATAGGTTTTACTTAAAGCCAAAAGGAAACAGGAGCTTCTACTCCAAGTTCCTGCTTAACACAGGCTGAAGAACCCCACCCAATAATTTCCATGTCAAGGCTCTTGCATAAGCTAGAGCAGATCTTCTAGATATGCATCCAGTCTTTGACTTAAATATTTGAGACAACAGAGAATCTACTGTGTCCCTTGATAAATTGTTTTAATACATAATTTTCACCTTATTTTTAGTCTGAATGTTTCTAGCTTCAGCTTGCAGCCACTGGGTCTCATTAGGCTTTTTTTCTGCTAGATCTAAGAGTGGTCTGCTATCTGAAGCTTTTTCTTGCGCGGGTCATCCTGGGTGACTTCTTCTTTCATTGGATAAATTAAATAGATTGAGCTCTACAGGATTGAGCTTTGTTATATGACATGTATTCTTAACTTCAAATCATTCTCCTACTGCTCTTTTAAGTACCCCCTACCCCCCAATTTCTGAACACCCTTTTTGTAGTGTGGCTGTCAGAAGTGTTCACTGTGTCCCTGTAATGGTCCTGCTAATGCTATATGTGGAGTTGGTTCGTGTCCCTACCCCTGCTTCGTATTTATAGATTTCATAGATTTTAGGGTCGGAAGGGACTTGTTAGATGATTGAGTCCAACCCCCTGCCCTGGGCAGGAAAGAGGGCTGGGCTCAGATGACCCCAGCCAGGTATTTGTCCAATCTCCTCTTAAATACCTCCAAGGAAGGGGATAGCACCACCTCCCTTCGATACATATTCCATATTTTGGCAACCCTCACTAAAGGATTTTTTTTCCTCATGTCCAATCTAAATTTGCTCTCCTTCAGTTTGTGGCCATTGTTTCTAGTTACCGCAACGGGCGCCTTGGTAAATATCGTATCCTCTATTTCCTGCTGTGTCCACCCCAGTGAGTTTGTAGACAGCCCCAAGATCACCTGTCCAGTTGCAACATCTTTCAACTGCACTCTAGGATGTAAAAGGAAAAATAAGTGGCCTGGCCACCCATCCCTGGCTTCTCTCCTCATAAGATTACATCCCTGTCCTTTATTTTGACTTGTATCCATACAGTGCATGAGGAAATGCTTCTGATGCCCTCCTTCTCAAAGAGATCTCAGATTTTGGTGGGATGTCTTGTAGGAATAGAATTGGTTTTGCTCCTTGTTGTGGCATGGTCCAAATGAAGTAGTAATCCTTCCTCCTGTCTGTACTGCTCTTATTACTTCTGGGATACCCCTTGTTAACAGTTGTCATAGAGCCTAGACTGCTTGAGAAAGTGCAGTCAACCCCTGGGAGAAATTTGTCAGCCACTATGAGCAGGGGGCTTGGATTAGAAGGCAGCGGTGGTCCTTTTTAGCATTGGGATCCTTAAATCTGAGTCAGTTCATTCTCTTTCTTCTTGACCCCTGGGGACCTGGATTACCTGCATCACCCTCAATATATTCAGAGCACCTGCATCTGAGCACCTGCATTAAGGCTGTGTCTGTAATCAAATCTCATGCTTCAGGGCTTCAACCAGTCATTGCAGGGGGCAGGAAGGATTTCCCCTGCACCTTCACCCCCCATGTATGATTGGCCACAGATGGGGAGGATCTGCTTTGTGAAGTAGCAGGCAAGATCCTCTTCAATGCCTAGCTGGTATGCCTTGCTCATGTGTAGTGTTCTGGGAATTTTTCAGGGTTTATCTTCTGAACATAAAAACTAGGTTGAAATTGGGATAAAAGGAAGAAAAGAA